CCCATACTCCCAACGCAACCCTGTCTGTTTTTTCACAAAGCACTGATCACCATCACCCTATATATTTTACTAACTTATTAAACTTAGTGTCTATCTTTTCCTACGAAAATGTAAGCTCCACAAGGCCAGAAATTTTTGACTGACTTATTCATTCACATATCCCCAGTGCCTTGAATCAACTCTGGCATATAGTAGGTCTGGCCACCAGGTACAGCCTCACAGGTTGTAACCTGCACAAGGCTAGGGCACAACATTCATATGGCAATGGTACCCACTGGAGTTGTGCAAAATGTCAGCCCCTTAGGACCTCAATAAACATTTGTTGAATCAAAGAAAACATGTTTTCCCTTCTATTTTAAGTACCTCTGTTAATAAGCCCTAGAAAAGTCACTAGTACTAAAGGAACACTTGGAGAAGTTAAAGACTCACAGACCAAAGGAAGATATTCATAATGGCCCCTGGATTGTGGGGTTAAAACTATCTATACCACTATAAATACTGTTTACCAACTTGACAAAGAATTTTGAATTTCAGTGGAGGTGGGCAAATTGGCTGTGTTTTGGAACTCTACATAATCACTATTTTCCCACAAGATAATTGAACAGTAAGTGTTATTTTAAGTAGTCTTGGAAGAATTCCCAGTTTCACTGTAGGAAAAGAGAAGTTTATATCTTAGGATTTTGTTTTGTTTTGAGACTCAGCACACACGGCCGTTCATGCAGCTCTTTTGTCTGCTAGTGATTAAGTGAAATCCACTACTTCAAAGGCTTTGCCATTCATCAGCAGGGTTTACGCCCTCACTTATCCTATTCCCCACCTTCATAACGTTCTCTCCTGGCATGTCTTTTCCTGCTATAGCTGGTTATGTAAAGTTTTATAAGTAAATACACCAGCCTCCCTTGTCTTCTTGTCTGATTAATTTAAGAATATCACAATTCCCTCGGAGTAGCCACTGGTGATGTCACAGTCTTTCCTTACAAGAATGAGTTGCCAGAAAGCAGGATTTCATTGAGCAAGACCTTTGGGTACAAGTGAGGAGGAGAGTCTATAGGAAACGTTGCCAATAAAGGATGTGGCGATAGTTTTTGAAACATTCTCTGTAATCACTAGTGTGACTTGTAGGCTACTTAGTACTATGGGTCGTGATATTTTAAAAATGTATCATACATGAGGACACTCTTGTTGTTTTCCACCAGTCACCAAAATAATCTGGTTTTCCATTGTTTTCTATTGTCTGTGTTAAGAGTTTAATATGGCATAATACTGGCAGAGATTTATATGTATTCTTTGAGAGAATTTCACGTACTTTTACATCCTTCTTGTTAAGTGGCACACACTGTGCAGACGCTTGCTTTTCTCTCCTTCCTGTCTGAGTAATGAAGGAGGGCCATGCTCTCGCAATGGTAGTGGAGATTTTGCTCCCTACAAAAACTCCACAGTCAGCTTTTGCTTAAATAAATACAAGTTTGATGCATAGTAGCTATGTAGAAACTGAATCAGGAACAATTCCTGAGCTGTGAGGTTATCAATCCTGATTTCTTCCGTGAGGGGGGAGGAGGTAGGGAGAGTATCCAGGGAAGGTTTAGTAAATAAAAAACATAAGTAGCCTTTTGAGCTTTGTCATTAAGAAAATAGGTAGCTAGTGGTGCAGCTTTATTGCTAGAAGCTCTGAGGGAAAAAAAAATAGGTACATTTTAGATGAGAAACACTTAATTTTTGTTCTTTAGTATCTTTCTCTGGGCTGCAGTGAGGGTGGATGGGAAATGTTCACACTAGAAGTTACTCAAATGACCACATTAGTACTATCTAGACATACCCTGTTCTTACCTGCATCGTCAGCAGTGTAGCCTGAGCCCCACAGTGTGAATGTGCTTTTACAGAATGACCTTGACTGTCCTTCCCGTCTGCAACCACCCTATACATCACAGAGCCACATCACTCCCCCATCACAGTAGGTGTGGCCTGACCCTCAGTCTCCAGTTTCTACCCCTTGATGATTCTGGAACCCAGCCCATCTGTTCATAAGTTTTGCCAGTCTGGGCCCTCTGCCAGGCCTTCTTGAAGCTAAGAGAAAGGAGCATAGATTTAGGATGAAGAGCTTGGACTTCAGAATCAGTTACACTTGGCTCTCACTAAGGGTGTAGACATGAGTAAGTGGTTTTTTTTCTCTGTGTCTCAGTGGTTCCATCTGTAAAATGGAGATAAAATCACCTCAGACTTATTTTACACATTAAATTAGATAATGTTTTGAAAGCCTCACATACAGTACCGCCTGTTGTAAGATTTGCTGTAATTAATAGGAATCCTCAGAATGCCAAGGAGCAGAGCCACACTTCCGACAATAGTTTCTTGCTAGATGGTGTTATTTTGCTCCCTACAAAGACTCCACAGTCAGCATTTGCTTAAATAAACATAAGTTTGATGCATAGTAGATATGTGGAAACTGAATCCGGAACAGCTGGCAGTACAGTAAGAATATAATGCTTTCCTCTCCTTCTCTCGCCACTTGGTTGAGTTTTTGTTTTTGTTTTTTGACTTTAACTTGGACAAGAAGAAATTCTCGTCAAGAAGAACATAATTAAAAATTTTCTTCCTAACTTTTCATAACTTTTCCTAACTTTTCAAGAAGAACATAATTAAAAATTTTCTTCCTAACTTTTCTTCAACCAAGAGAGTTCTTTTAAATAATAGCAGAATCATTCATTCATCTGCTTATTTGCTTTTTCATTCACTCCTTCGACGGATGCTATAGCACCATTCCTAGCCCTTGTGACAGTTCCTCTCTAGTGGGGGATTTCGTCAGTAGGCAGGCAGTTTCAGGGTAATGTGATAAAAACTGGGCTGGGGGAAGTCAGAGGCTATGGAAGTACTCAGGAAAGCCACCTTGCCCAGATTCGAAAGAGCCAGGGGACTTCCTGGAGGAAGTGGTGTCTAATGAGAGACTTAATGAATGAGTAGAACTTCATCCAGCAAGAAACAGCATGTGTGAAGGTTCAGAAGCAAGAGAGACTTATTAATTGGAGGAGCTGAGTTCAGTATGACTGAAATAATAGAATTTCAGGAAGGCCATGGGAAAACAATAGGATTGGAGAAGTAAGCAAAAGCCAGATTATCTCTTTATTTTTCCTTATCTTTTAAAACATGGCCTGCACACAAAAATCAGAGGTAATACGGTGTAGTCCTACCATGGAATGAAAACCAAGGACTCATGCAGACAGAGAAAACTAAGCAGCTGACAGTTTTCACACTACAGAGTCTTCAAAATTTTCTAAATTCCTCTGAGTTGTCATACATTCGAAAAGTATCAGATATGCTCAAACACGCATTTCAAATCCTGCTACTGATTCTCTCCCTCCATTAAGGCAAATATTGGGACTTACTAATATCCAACATTTAGATTTCTATATTTTCCAAAAACCTTAACCTCTGCGCCTGGTGTTATTATAATCCCATCTATAGGTAATAATTTAATAGGTAAATTGTGCTAGACTATCTGCTTCTAAGAAGACAAAAATCTTCAGCTTTAACCTGATTCAAAGTTAATTAAAGTATTTGAGAATGCTTTATAAAATATTAGTTTGAAAATAATTATATAAGATGCATAAGGGAAGAAATTTATTACTGAATAATTAATTGTCTCTCAAAATAATCTATATTTTCATTTTTCCACGACTGTTCTTGCTGTTCCCTCTGCTAAGAATGCTGACTACCACCTTTATCCTTTTGATATCCATTTTGCATCCTTTGACTATTTTAATATTTGTTCCAGAGGGTAACTTATTCGTGTCTTTTCATTCATTTGTATTATTATTATTTCACTCGTCATGCATTTTAAACAGTTTTACTAGATTTAGTAAACAGAAGTGTGCCTTAGACATTTTTTATTCACTGTGGCACTTAGCATGGGACACATGTTGTTTAACTGATAATGATAGAATATTTATACAGAAGGCTTACGAAAGAATTGATTTTATAGATAAATAATCTAATCCTCCCCAATTTTGACCAAAAAAAAAAAATGTCGAGTCAAATATTCTTTCTTAGTAACTACACGCTGCTCAGTAATTAACCTGCTATAGTTACTAAAAATCAGACTGTTACATAGTCTTCTGTCCACTCCTCTGTGGCCAGAAATGTTGAGTCAGAGGTTCTACAGAGAAACCCTCAACTCTAGTTGGAGAAGCTCTAAAGGAAGTGAAGCTAAGCAATGGGAGAATGTGAGCACCAGTCTCTGACTTCTATATCCTGTATTCAGGCTGTAAACATGCCATACCTAAGGAGAGTACCATAGTACAGTTGCTATGTAGTTTTGCCAAGGGCCCCCTTATGTGGACAACCCACTTGGAAAACTCCACTACTCTCTAAATAACATATGAAAGCACTTAGGGAATAGAAAGCACTCAACAAACGTTAGTTTTTGCTTTTGGTTTTAATATTGTTTGCTTCTTAAGAGTTATGCTGACCACTACGATAGCCACTTGCCACCTGTGGCTACTGCGCACTTGAAATGCTACTTGTTCATATTGATATGTGCTCTAATCATAAAACACACACTGAATTTCAAAGACTTGATAATGTCTAAAGCTCATTAATAATTTTTATATTGATTGCATGCTAGTTTGGATATATTGAGTTAAATAAAGTATATTGTTTAAGTTAATTTCATATGTTGCTCTTTATTTTATTAATGTAGCCACAATAAAATTTAAAATTACATATTTTAAATGTGGCTCACATTTGTGGCTTGCATTATATTTCTATGGGACGGAACTGTTTTAGAGAGACCTCCCAGGATGCTGTGGCAAGACAGCTGTATTGCAGACAGACATTCAGGAACTTGATCAGCAAAGAGGAAAGCGATCAAATTATAGTTGAACAAATATGAACTATTCACTTATTAAAAATTGAAATTAAATGTGTTTTTTCATTGTTTGTGTTGTTTTATCTTTAAAAAACAATAGCTAACATTTTATATCTAATGAAAAAATTTCTATTTCTAGGTTATTGGTTGGTTCACCTTGGAGTGGCTTTCCTGAGAACCGAATGGGAGATGTGTATAAATGTCCTGTTGATCTAGCCACCGATACATGTGAAAAACTCAATTTGCAAAGTAAGTTGTAATTAGCAATGTGGTGTTTTACAAATGACAAAATCTGATTTGTTACATACGTGATTGAAAAAATAGCAACAAAACTAATCATAGGTCTGTCTTAGAGAAGTACAGTCTTTTTGTTAGTTTGTTTGTTTGTTGTGTTTTTTGCCTATATCTCTTTATTTGTATGGGGCCCAATTGTACTCAAATTTCCAACACAGTTTGAAGAGTTGAATTAGTAAGATGCATGGGAAATGTGCTGCCTCCTGGACCATCTACTGCCCAGACTGTGTGAACCAGTTTCCATTAAGATTGTTTTGCTGATTATTTTCAGAAATCTAAGAATCCATACCTCTCTCCCTCCTCAAAACAAACCATTAAGTATGGAAATATACTAGGACTGATTTTAGAGGTGCTAAGAAACACTCTGTGTTTCTGATCATGTCTAAATAATTTCATGCTAATAAAAGATATTCACAATTTGGAATCATCTACAGTTGTTTGGAATTGCTGCTTTAATTATCCACATCTCAGGTGCTTTCTATTAATGCAAAAAGTGACTAAAGGTACAAGACTGGAAAACTAAATGAGTCATATTTCCACACAGCATTTCCTGATGCAAGTAAAAAGTTACTTAATTTGATCACAATCATCATTCAAAAAAAGCCAGCACAGAGGGTTCATGGAGTACCGAAGAATTAAGGCATGGGTTAGGAACATACAGTGTTATGAAAATCAAGAGAAAGAAGAGATTCAGAAACACTGATTAAGACTTAGAAACAACGGCATGAGTGTTTCTTACACATTTCTGTATATTTGATTTCCAGCACAATTTCTGGCATAGATTAAGGGCTCAAAAAACCTATTTTCATTGAGGTGGAAGAAGTATCAGTGGTGTCAAAAGCAAGAGGTTGAAGGATGTGAAGATGGAGTGCAGATCATCATCTATTTAAGGTGGTTGTGGGTGATCTAGATCAGTGTTCTCCAAACATTTTGAACACTCTCCATACGTATGTATATGATACATACATAATACATATATTATACACATATAACACATATATACACATATGTAAAATCTTTAGAAATAATAAAAATATATACATTAGGTATGAGTGCTCAAAAGTTTTATTATATCACCCTTAACATTTCATATCACCTCTAACTTTCAAATACTCACCCCAATGTATATATTTTATTTTTAAAAAATTATATACATGTACTGACATATTATCTTTCTAAATAAAAATAAATTTAAAAGAATAAACATACACATAGGAGTTCTATTATTTTCTTTCTGTACTCCATATCATCATATTTTATAACTTTCTTGCCTAGAGTATAAATCCAATAGTGCTGAAGGGAGAACATAGATTACAAAGAATTTAAGAGTGGGTGAGTAGGGACAGTAGATCTCCATTTTCAGAAGTTGATTAGTGAAGGAGAATTGGGAAAATAGTTCAATGGGGTAGCAGGGTTAGGAGAAGTTATTCTAATAAAAACAAAGAGATGATCCTATTGGTAGGGTCTGTGGAAAGAGGTGATAAAAAGGGAGTGACTATTAGTCAAGAAAAGAGTTAATTGGACAGAATTAACTTCACTGGTCCCTAGGAAAATGAGTCTTAGAAAGAATGCTCCTTTCTCTAAGACACAACGGAAAGAGTTCCAAGAATGACCTTTAAGTAAATATGAGGGAAGCTGAGATTATCCTTAGAGTGAGACTGTCTTCTCTGCAGGAGGCAAGTTATTCAGAGATTGATGGGACCTGGTTTGGTTTTGGAGACTTGAGAAGAAGAATAAAGTTTTCAAATGGTCAACTTGGGACATGGGGGATAAGCGAAAGTGGCAACGCTGGTTTGGCAGAGATTAAAGGACATGAATAAATAATGACATTTTGAGAACTGCGATGTTCTCAAGAATGGATACAGTGGATGATGCCCTGGTTCAGTGGGAGAGAGGAGCTGGAGATATTTATCTCATGTCCTACATGATTGGCCTCATGATTTCCTTTTAAAATTCACTCACTATTGCTTCAAGGCAGATTCTACCATATGGCATTCTTTGATAATACTTGAATAATATTTTTTTCTGAACCAGAATGAAGCATTAGGTAGAGTCACCATGACCTTGGAAAGAGCAGGATGGCAAACTGGACACTAAATGGTGTCCTCAGATGTGTTTTGTTTGGCCAGCAATTGTTTTTTAGAAAATTAAAATATAAGTTATGCCCTCTCCAGACCCTACCCCCTAATATTTCATATTTGCAGCCTCACACATTTAAGTGAGCTCCCTGATCACCGAGGCCTCTCATTTCCTTACATTTGACTGAATAATGTGAACACTTGTCTATATGACACTAAATTTAATGCTACATATAAACGTGAGTGTGCATGGGTTTTTTGAAACAACTTTAAATAAATGGTGAAAATATAGTCACTTTTTAAACTGTTTCCTCCCCGCGCTTTGAAAGCTTCCACGAGCATTCCTAATGTTACGGAGATGAAAACCAACATGAGCCTTGGCTTGACTCTCACAAGGAACATGGGAACCAGAGGATTTCTTGTGAGTGTTTACTTTTCAAGTCCTCATTCCTCTTTAAAAAGTAAGAAGTCAGTGTCTCTCATCATTCCTCCTATCAAATCAAATCTTGAGGCTTAAACGGTAGTACCTGCTTTTTGATAAATCATGTTACATGGCTATCCAATGTGACTAACAATCTCTTGATGTGTAGGTATCTTAAGCTATTCAGCAAAATCACTGCTACAGAAGGTTTTGAAAAAGGGGAGCAAAAATGGCACCAATTCTTTGCCCTTGGAAAGTGTGCCCAACCTTTGCAGATAACAGCAGAATTCCAGGTCTCATTTCTCCTTCCTGTAGAAACATTCAAGATAGGTACTGCTAATTCAGAAAGTAGGTTTCAAAGACAAAAAGTACTTTTGTTTTAATCATTTCTTCTAACCTGTGGCTAATCTGATATTGTATAAGGCATGGCTCACTCTCTCATTTTATTTTATGTTAGTGTTTACTTTCATTTAGTTTCTAGAAGGCTGTGAAAAGATATCACAAATCAGTGAAGTAGAATGCCTTATTTAACAAGTGGTCTGGGTCAATTAGTTGGTTAATAACTTACATATCCAAATATACTTTCGAGTGAATGAAGAAGTTGATATATAAAAGTAGAAGGAAGTGGAAATTTTCTGAAAGAGAGAAGAATTTCTGAGCTTAGAGCTAACAGAAGAAATAATATAGGAAATTGTCGAAAAGATTTGACTATATACAAAAAATGAAAACCATCGCACACCAAAAAAATAAGTTTAAAAGCAAATAAAAATTCAATTTAATTAGACATTACATTTCTACCAGCTCATGTGGGTGAATCCTAGTTGTATTGCCCTGTTAAAATAAGTCTTAGAAAACTTATTTTAACTTCCCATTAGTTATAGCTATACCACTGACATACTAAAAGCCTGTATTACTTGGTAAACTACCTACCTAAAAGCCTGTATTACTGGATTTTTCTAAAAATGTAATCAATTTGAACATTCTTCTATCAATAATAAATATTAATATTCAGACAGACTTCAGTACTGCTAAGTAAATCAACTCTTGCTTATAATATGCATTCTATCAATGCATAATTGGATATTACAATGAATCTTCATGATTTATGATATTCCAAAATCTTTATAATAGGGTTGCTTTTATCTTTTTTACTTGCTTATTTGTTTTTAAATTCAGAAAGATAAATATATTGAGGTATAGGGAGTAGAGAATGTACTTCAAAAGTTTTTAACTTGTAACTTCAGGCAGAGTAAAATAAAGTTGCAGGAGAATTTGAGAGATTAACAATGTAACAAGCAGAGAGGAAGGGTGGGAGGTGGGTGAGAGAAGAAAAGAAGGAGAAAGCCAAAACTTTCTTTACATACCTAAAAGATTAAAATCTTAAGATACTCCTAAGAATTATGTGGAAAAGACACAATCATCATCTTTTTCTGAACTTTAAATT